GAAATGAACAGTAATGGGGGATGTCAGTTGACATTACTGCCTCATTGAAGATGTGCAGGAGGCTGAAAAGATGGATAGTTGGAGGGATATAGAACAAACAAGAAAGAAAAAGGACGATTTACGGCATCCAAGACGAAAAGCATCCATTTTCGTACCTGGGTATGCTAGCATACTCATTTGTTTTAATGCTAACAAAAAACAAAAATGTCAAACTGTGCTCTTTAACTACTCACGGGTGGAAAAATGCTCACACTAGCCATTTAGCTATACAGCCAACTTTAAGCTAACACGCATATATAGAATGTAAAAACCTGTGCATATTCATTGCAGCCAAGGTTTTGTTTTTCGTTTTTTAGCCTGCATGTTGTAAAACAGTGCTGAAATTTATGTTCTAGCAGCTGCAGAAAGTCTCTCTCATTATTTATTAAATGATAGTTCCTGCTGGAAAACAGCTCCTAAACTGACTTTATAACGTTTCTTCCCCCTGGACAACAGGCGTGATGAACCGCAGGGCCTCTGCCTGGGTAAGGGACCTGTTTTGGAAGGTAATATCGTGTGATGTATGGGTACAATGTCCATTTAGAGCCACTCTTATTAAGACCCCACTTAACGTTGTTACACTGAAGAAAAAATTAAAAAAAGAAAGAAACAATAGAGCTCGTGATTTAAAGCAGCAGAGAAAATACAGCTAGTCTTTTCTGTTTTCACAGAGTTCGAGGTGGAAGATTAGCTTAGCAAGCTTTTGGTTTTGGGCTCATTTGTAAATCAAATAGAAGATGCTACAGGAACACCGTGTCTGACGAAGTTATTATTCTCCTCTCCTCGTGAAGCCTGCAGTATTTTCATATGTTCCCCAATGGGTCGCTCATAATCCTCTCAGCTTCATAAATAGCACATTATTGAATGTACACCATCAGTTCATTACCTTGAACTGGTCGAGTAATGGAAACCTGCCTAATGTCGGGGGCCTGCTGGGATAATTAACTGAGAAAAAGAACCGTGGAGCTTCAGTGATCATCTGAGGTAATGTTCTCACTCTCCAAACTGCATTTCAAAGAGAACATCACCACTGCCTCTTAAAAATTTCACCTTTTAGTCCGGCAGAGTGAGAGGGACTACTGAGCAGTGCTCATTTTCTTTTTTCTTTTATTTTGCAGTCACTATCTCCTGTGTCTTTTCGTGATGTGAGAAATCTTTTAATGTGCTAATAAAAAGTCGTGATTGTTCCGGGCTACAAGGAGATACTGTTCGACTCAGTGATTATTTCTTAGTGCGCTAATCACTGAGAAAGCCCTAGGCCCCACTAATCACAATGTAGATATAATAAAATGTCTCCACAGACATGATGTGGCCCTGAAGAGGCTCGTTTCCCCCCTCCTTTTTCTACCAAAACAACAAGCTATGCATTAATCAATAGATTATTTGGGGCTTTTTCCTTCAAAGTGGCTGCTGTTGTACTCATTTTATTAAACTTATTCAGTCATCCTGTGAATGAGCGTCAGCTTTTAGGGGGCATACTGTTCTGAGTTAAAAGGCTCAGAATAGACAGTCGGTAATGAGATGGTTTGGTTTGGTTGTTTTTTTTAGTATGATTTTTTTCAAAACTGCCAGTACTATTATCGGTGAAGATACCATCTGAACTTGATCGCTCACATTTCCCCATAATTAATATCTGTGTTATTAAACAGTTATGGTTTCTACAGCAGAGCTTAAATCCTACACTAATAGGTAGAAGCCACAATGGGATCACAGATCATATCTAATTAGCTGTACCTAACACATATGTGAAGTGTTTTTATATTTATCCAGCTCTTTTAACTGCTTTTTTGCCTTCAGGTTGTGTTGAGGGAAAATGTCCTTAGGGTACCATATACACAGGAACACTTAAACAAACGGTGCTACAGAGCACACCATGCTGCTCCTGTCGGGCATCATTGTGTTTCCAGAAAAGGCTCTTTGCAGCTTTTCCAGGAAAACTTGTGGGGGCAGAGTTTATATAAATGTTCCCCATAAACGTTCACTAGCGATTAGTAACCTGAGAGCTGAATGCTTAGTCATCCATTGTAAATGTCCTGCCGTTCCTTAATAAACCTGCCTGTTTAAGGCAATTATTTCATCGACTTTTGCTGAATGGCTCGTTTTTAAAAACATCAGCCTACTCTATTTCGTGTTTGGCCCTAACTGCCTGTTAACTGATGTTTGTACTAGGGCTGCCACAAACGATTATTTTGATAGTCGACTAGTCACCGATTATTTTTGCGATTAGTGGACTAATCAGATCATGCATCCATTGGACTTACAGCTTATTGCACCAGCAGCATCTGCTCTTATATAACTATCATTAGCTTACAGCTTTAAGTGTTTAAGGTATGTGCTAACTAAAAATAAAGACAAGATGATAGTTTATTAAATTTTAATGAAATTTGCAGATTGTTTCAGTGAAGTTTAATAAACTCCTTGCTATCTAAAATAAAACAGGACACCGGAGTATATTCTCGAGCATCTCACACTTCTGATAATCAGCTGTCTGCTTGATGTTTATTCAACTGTGTAAAAACTATAACTTTAATCTCAGCCAAACCGATTTACTCAGGAACAAATAAAATACTACAAAAAGCCAAACAATAACCTTTTTAAGTTATCTAAGTGACTTATATATATTTAACCTGAGTAGCGAAAGACAGCGGTGGGTTTGAAAATGATGTGCCATGAGTCCGGTGTTCTCACGGACTCTAGTGAGCCTAGCCCCCGGCTAGCTATCGAGCTAGTGGGTAACACGTCTCCGAAAACGTCGGAGCGCTTTTGAAAAGATGTGGTGTCTTGATAAACTGAGCAGATATTTGAGGTTTACAAAGTTACATTCTCGCCTGAAAATATATTAAGCGTTTATTTTGTGACCCAGAAAGAATAATAAGAGTAATATTAAAACTAACTAGCTGCCGCCATTGTTGGAAACTGAGCTGGGCCGCGCTATGAATTCAGGGACAGAGCTACTTCTTCTTCTTCGGGGTTTAACGGCAGCTGGCATCCTTGTACATGCAGTGCTGCCATCTTCTGTTTCAGTCCGTTATTACACTCTTAAATCCTACTACTTATTCCTGCGTCTTTTGCGATCTTACAAAGCTTCAAACAACGCGTTGACTATTAAATCAGTCGTCGACGATTTTGATAGTCGACGTAATTGTGACTAGTCGACTAATCGTGTCAGCCCTAGTTTGTACTAAATCCTCTTAACACTAACTTTCATCTTTTCAGGATGTTTTGAGCCCATTTTTGCCGGAAGAATGACAGACATTGACATCAGTTTATAGAACACATGCCTTTCCTTCAGTCCTATCCTTCATTTGTCTCTGAGGAGTATTTGAAATGCTAGGCTGCAACCTTTGCCTTCAAAAGCTATGTCTGCCTCTATTTGAATGACGGGAATAGATTTGGTCAATTATTCATTAAGTAAGCATGAAGCTTTCTAATGTTCACTTGCTGCTTTCTTCAGCATGAGTTTTTTCTTTCTTTCTCTTTTTTTGGAAATACCCTGCAGCTCTGAGTTATCTGTTAGAGTAGAGGGATAATGAGACAGTTTCATTATTTTTATTTTTTTAAATTCATTACAGCTTTGTTGTTTTGATGTGTCGTATGTTGGCGTTTCATCTCTGTAGATAACTGCCGCAACCCTCAAGTAAACTATCCCTCACACTCTGGCCTGGCCCCCGTGATTGAATTAGCCTCTGCTACACTATCTCCCATGCTGGCAGTCACGGTGAATTTCACCATGTGAGACAACATGATAAAAGACGGGATTTGATTTGCATTCATGAAGCACTTAGGAAGTTCAAAGAAAAGTTGCCGAGCACAACGGAGCGCACAGAGTCCTCCGTGACAGTGTCTGTTTCAGATATCGCAATTTCACCTTCAATGGAAACACTGATAATATTGCATGAGGTCATTTCCCATCAATGGGCTCCCTGTCATAGAATGCTCTGGGGTTATTTTGGTGGACACATTTTGATATGCCTTTCCCTCCTGTGGTCAGAGATTGTAAAAACACCAGCGAGAGTGTGGGATGGCTCACGTGTCCTGGTGACACAGCCTAGAGCCTAGAGCTGGTGCCACATAAAGGAATACAACAAGCAACCAATATGAGCTTTGTGCTCCAGCTGCAGGCTGTGATTCAGAATTGTCTGGAGGCTCGCTGCCAGTTACCAGAGTTATTGCCTGAAAAGAACAGTTTACTGTAGAGTGGATTTGGCTAAAATTGCTATGATGGATTGTGGTTTTGAATTGATAAGAATCTTTCAGCGGGAGCTTTGATGAATTTTCAAACTGAATACAGATTCTGGCAAGAGCACGAGCATAGAAGCAGTGCATGGCATTGAATTACATACCCAGCGTAACATCACACCCCCAAGGCATATAAATATTGATCTGCGTGCATTTCAAGGTAAAAGGCTGACATGACATGGGAGACAAGCTCAACAGAGCTTGCTCTCTAGCCCATTATTTTCTTATCTTTCCGACAACTCAAAGCTCCATACAGTGTTTACTCTTCTGACTCGCCATTTACAGAGAGGTGAGGGGAGTTGTGGGAATTAGCAGTAGACCCCTACAGATTAGGTTTAGAGCGATGTGGGTGCGTGGCACACCAGCAGAGTGGGGAGGGAAAGGAAGAGCAATCAGGGTGACAGTCTTAATTTGAACTCTGGTGTGCATAACGCCATAACGCTAGAGGCAAAGACGCTACTCAGCACAGCCCGTCTTAAAGCAGTCATGTTTACACAGTTTAATAGCCCAAATCGTCGGATTTGCATTCATATTGGTGCATTTTCAGTTTATTTTGTCTCTCTGCGCCACCAGTGCGAGCAGCTCAGAAATGTAATGCCTGATAAGAAGAGTAACCTAAAGTTCAGAGAAGACTTGTGAACGGACTGAACACATGGGAGTGCTGCGTGGATAATTCCTCATAACTTGTGCGCCAGTGTTCTCGAGCAAGGCACCTCTAACTGCCGTGTTTGAAGACCGCTGTTTATTTAGCGTCTGGGGAAATGGTGGATCTGCTTTCTCTCGACTTTCTCTGGACAGGAAGCACGAGTGATTATCCGTCAGTGGAGAGAGCGGATTTATGTGGCGCACCGCTCAGACGGCTGCGCGTGCTCACGCTGTGCCGCCGTGCAGAGGTTTGAGGCAGAGACCCTCCTGACCATCACACAGGGTGGGGTGCACCGAGGAGCTCCGTCCCCGTGCGCCGCCACGCCCCCGCGCTTGGCGCTGTCCGGTGCTCTAGTGCTGAACGCTGGGTGCGAACACAACAAACTGCCTGCAGCGCTGTGGGCTGCCTGCACGCTGCCGTGTTACATGGAGCCGAAAGGCGGATCTCCCAGGATGAAACAGCTTAAAGTTCAGAGGGCTCTCCCGGAAGGACCGCACCGTGGATGGCCATGAAGGAAATGTTTCTCAAGTGTGTTTCCTTTCTTTTTTAAGGATTTCCTACCAACCCCTCTGAGACGCTCGGGGGTACATAACTTGCCACCAACATGATTTGGGGTGTTTTGTTATGCTGCCTTCTGACGCCAGCTGCTGGATATGAAGCACAGGAGCGACTGCCTTTCTTCCACGGGCATGTTTTTGAGAACTCACCGCCGTGTTCTAAAGTAAACGGACTGATTATTCCGGTGAGGCGCATCACCGCGCAAAAATGGTGCCCGGTCTCCGGAACGCACTTCAAACTGTACGGAAACGGCAGTGAAGCTTTCCGAGCCTTCGCTCACCACAAGCGGGGAAGTGTATTGCTCAGAACTTCCAGGGTTTTAGACAGAGAGACTCGCTCAGAATACCTGCTGAGCTTAGGTCTGTGCTGCCAGACCTGCGCACCTGGGTCTGTCGTCTTCGACGTTGCGTCGGTAAAAGTGGACGTTTTGGATACCAACGATCACAAACCGACTTTTCGCAGTGCAGACAACATTCACATAAGTTTACACGACACCACTGCCCTCCGTAGTGTAGTTTACAGGCTGGAGGCTGTCGACGCAGACAGCGGAAAAAACGCAGAGTTGACGTATATCTCTGTCCCCCAAAATGGCAGTTTCTATGTTGTCCCGAAAACAGGCGAAGTTTTACTGGTCGACTCAATCCTGGGGCTCCCTTCTAAAGTCAAATTCTGCGTTTATGCCAGAGACCACGGATGGCCCCCTCTGACCAGTAAGGCTGTGTTGGTTACTGTCGCTCCACAGCGGTGGGCGACGCGTCCCGCTGAATTAGCGGGGACAGCGAGGGCAGGGCGTTCGCCCAGGGCATTACTTGACCCTGGCTCCGTGGTTTCTCTTAACGTGTCCGAAGACGCCAGCATCGGCTCGGTCATAACGAGCTTGAGCCCCACCAGATTTCAATCAGCCAGCTACGAGTTGATTTACCCGGAGTCAGAGAGCTCTCCGGTCAGCGTGGGCCGCGACAGCGGAGATATCACAATAACCAGGAGGCTGGATAGGGAGGCAGAGCCGTTCGTGGAGCTCACTGTAAAGATTCAAGATAAAAGAGGTGCGTTGATTATTCTTCTGTTAATCGGCGCTAAACTTAGGCCATGTTTCTCCCCCACCCCCCCCTTTCTGTTGACTGTAATTATTTCCATTGTGGTGATGATGCCCTATTTAAACGGAATGCTTGCACATTATAAGCACATGGTAAAACTGTGCCGCCATCTGGACCCGCTCACCCCTCATCAGAGGAGCCCCCTGAATAGGCCTGACATCTGGAGTGCATTCATTCAGGGCAGGAGGTGTAGCTGCAGCCTATAGGCTTATTCCACAGGTGTGCCACATGGCATCTATACATCCACAATCCACATTAGTGACACACTCAGTGGAGACATTGTTAGATGGCTCTTCCAGTCATTTTGATATGGATACGATATTTAAATAATGGTGAGCGATATGGGGCACACTTGTGGCAACGAGAAGATGAATATTTTTTAGGTTAAAGATTTATTTTACTTGATTTTTTTTAAACTGACTGAATCACATCCTTGATTGACGTAGTTTGTGACTGTGAAGATGTTTTCCGAGCTAATCCTTGCAGAGTGGCAAATCGCAGCGACCCTCACTCTCTCATCTACTCACATTACCCCTCTAATCCTCCTCTCATTCACTCTCTAGTCCCAGGGATTTGAAGTAGCTCTGCCACAGTCAGGAAACCTTTCAAATATCGGAGGGAAGGTGAAAGTCGTGTGTGCATCAGATATTCGAGTTCTGTTTTGCTGCTCCGAAAGTTTACAGTCGAGCTTAAAAACAAGTAAAAAAAAGAAAATAAGGGGATCAAATTGATTTGCTTTGTAATTGAGCTGCACAGTGAGCACGAAACAGTTTGCACTGTTTTCATTTGAATTGCCTGCTGCTGCTTCATTGCACAGCATGTTCTGGATGGTAATTGCATGGCTGATTGGGACACATTCTTGTAAAGGGTGTCTGCAATTTCTTTTCTTTTTCTCCCCCAGAACAAGCAAAAACAGTCAGAAATCTGATGCGTAACAGAATTCAGCCGCTCTAGTCTGACAGATATTCAGATCTTCCTCCATTTTACCTCCCTCACCTGCAAAACTCTCCTCTCCTGATCAAAGGCATGGCATGTCCTTTATCCTGTGACTACAGCTTGCCAGACAGAATCCTGACGGCAGTCTGGGAGGACAGGCCTTTCTTCTGCTCATCTCACTCCCAATCCTCGCATACACATATCTCTGATAGAATGAGTCCATTTTTTATTTTTAGAGGTTTCACCTAATATCCCGTGTGGCTTTGCATTAGGATCTGCTTTGGTACTGCAGCAAATTAGTGCTGTGTCTCAAAGTTAAAGGAGAGTGCTCTTGGAGACATTAGAGAAAGAAGGAGTGAGATGTTTTCTAAAGTGTGTTTCTCTCTTTGTATATGTTTGTGTGCAATTATGAGGCCGGATAGTCACATGAAGACTGACCTCAGGTACAAAAACAACATTTTTAATGAGGCCCTATGCGTTGTGTCATCTTGAGTTATTTTACGTATTGAACTTTCCGTGGCACTGAGCCATCCGTGGCGCTGATGGTCACCTGCTGAATGTCAAATAGAAGGCTGTCAGACAGCAGTCTAGTAAACAGATCAAACAGCATTCCAGGAAGGAACATTTAACGCTCACCTTTAAAAAGAAAGAAAGAAAATGTCTGTGATGTGGAAAAATAATCAACAGCATTCTCTCACCCCAACCGGTTGCAGCAGATGGCCCCGCCCCTCCCTGAGCCTGGTTGTGCTGGAGGTTTCTTCCTGTTAAAAGGGAGTTCTTCCTTCCCACTGTCGCCAAAGTGCTTGCTCATAGACGGTCATATAATTGTTGGGTTTTTCTCTGTATCTATTATTGTACGATCTACTGTACAATATAAAGGCGACTTGAGGCGACTGTTGTGATTTGGCGCTATATAAATAAATTTGAATTGAATTGAAAAACAAGGCCATGGAGATAAATCCTAGAGCTTGAAAATGCATTTTAACAAACTGTACAAAGATAAAGTTCTGCATTACTTTTGAAATGATGCAGGTTGCTCATTGCAGCTGCAACAATGTGGGATTCCACTCTCTTGTTGTAAGTTGGCCTCAGTTCCCGTATACGGCTGTAACGGTACTCATGAAAAAATCAAGTCTCTGTTCCTTTCGAGCAACACTGACGTTTCCGTCTTGTTTTTTTAACCACTACTTCTATTCCCATTGCTACCATAAGCCATCGCTCGCAGATTAAACGTGTGATTTATTTATTGTCTTTACAGCTTAATGCACGCTTCGGTGGATGATTCCAAGAACACACAGGTTAAAGTCCACGCGGGACAATAAGTACTCTCTGTAATTAGCTGGGGAATGCAGATTTTCTAAATGTGTAGTGAACGTGTCCATTAACTAGTTAATGTGGCCATGAAATGCTAATCACACTGGTGTAAGGCTTTCTTATGTTAATGGCTTTGCTGTGTAAAGCCTTATGATTAGAGTCATCAGAAGAGCTGTTATTAGTGCTGTTGCAAAAGGAGATAAAAAGTCTAGTTTGACACTCTGGTTGCATCGATACCACAACCTTTTTGTTATAAAATGTGTAAAATGCTGCTGTTTTACTTTGGCGGTGCTGGGATTTTGTTTTAGTCTGGATAGGCAGACAGACTACTGGAAATAATGACACCTATTGCTTCCTTACTGGGTCTTATCAGTCATAAAAAATAAACCAGAACATTAAAGCTAGGCTCAGATACCTTTTGTGATTTCATCCTTCTTGTGCAGGTATTCCTTTCTCAATGTCACGCCTTTCCTTTGCCAATGGAGGATTTTTCGGTACTGATCTAATACGTCACTGCATTTTCTTTGGAACAACAGCCTGTCTGTGTTCTTACACCAGCCTGACCACCTTATACTCGTGTATTACCTTCAGTAACAGTTCCACCTTCCCACACGTCAAAGCAAAGAAATCTCCAGCATTTTTGTAATTGTTCTTCCTTCATAGCATTTTCAAAGAGCAAGCAAAAACTCAGTGTACTCTGTGTAGGACCAGTACACAGATCGCATGATAGTCTACCTGTTGTAAGGCATACTTGCAGTGATTCATTTGTTTGTTTGTTTTTTAACCTGGACCGTAGCACTCCTCTGGATGGAGATCCTTTTCATTTTATGAAATGATAATGAAAATGCATCTGGGATAAATTATTCTGGCACACTGCAGATTAGGGGAACAGTGTTTCTTGATTACTCTCAGCAGGGGTCCATCCTCACGTACATATTTACCCAGAAGAGCATACGCTTACCAAAAACTCAGCCTTTGCTCCATGCATGAGTCTACGACATGAAATGTTTGAACACTAAGCATTCTGCTTGAGTTTTTGCAGTGATGGGAAAATGTTTTACTTGGATTGATGTTGAATATTGTTTTAATTTGAGATTTTTTTAACTTCAGGATATAATTCGGAGCTGCTGTTTGTCATCCAAGAATATGATGACAGGGTTTTTGTCAGATTTTTTGAAGTCTAAAAGTCCACTTGGGGAACTTAGGCTTAACTTATATCCCTAGTTGTTTATCTGTTCATTTATATGCACGAGTTACTGTAAGGTAAATCATTCACTGCTCTTTCCTTCTCGCACCAGCAGCCAATCTACACAGCTTTGTTGTTCTGGCTTTGCCACACAGTGCGGCACATTGTGCCACGTTAACAAAGTACCAACATCTTTCCGGGTGGAAACCCATTGATCATAACCGGAATGCTGTTGAGTCTCATGAACTCGATTGAAATTACTCTACTGATATGTAGTGCTGCGATCCCATCTCATATAATTAGTCATCGCTGTGATTGGTATTTTCTGCAACAAAAGTTAATGTAATCATCCAACATACTGTCGTGTCTGACTGCTCCCATTTTTAACAAGTTGGGACTTGTTTATTACTCTTGCTGATTTCTGAAGAAATGTCCTCGTATTACGTACCACCATCGTAGCGCCGTGGTTCATTACACCACTTACTTTTTTAATTACACCCGCAAAGTTAGGAATTACTTTCTGTTTTGTAAAAGTAAACAATCAGAAAACATTTTTTTTTTTTTGCATAATCTCTTCTCATTTAATTATACTTTGCTCCGAACTTTATTTAACGGTGCAAGCAAAGCATTTTGTGCATCTCATCATCAGCGTTATGTATGGCGAGTGTGTGCACGTAGATCAAATTAGGATCAAATTTGAGCCTTACCGAAGGCACGCAGTCGGGATTTCAGGACAAGCTTTGACACTAGTCCTTCAGCTGTGTTGCATCACATTTAGCACACAGTAGCATCGCTGTGTTTATTTAAGAAGTTTGTTCTTTCTCGGGGCCCAATCAAAGCATCCTTGCTTTCTCCTTGACTAGAGCCCCTGCTAATGTTGGAGAAATATTTACCTTCTAAACTATATTCAGTAGAGCAGAAATCCCCAGAGAAAACAATGATATTTTCCTGACATAGCTTCTATGTATCAAACCAGCAGTATAAGAAAAAAAAGTAAAAGCAATGGAAGTAGGCCATGACTCATGACTCACAGAAAATGGTTATGTGGTGTTGTTTTGTGAAGAGGGAGTGAGGGACCTCTACAGCTTCACTTGTAAAGGATTTTCCCTGCCCCACAGAGGATGTCACTTTAGATTTGCGGTGGAGAATTTTTTCTTTTGGTTGTCCCATCCGAAGAATCCCTTTCTTTGCACCTGAGTGGGAATCTGTTAATGGTATTTGACGGGTTAGGAGGAGTATCGAGCAAGTGGTGCATTCCTTTGTGAGTTGGAATGGGGAATATTGAAGTGGTTTCTCCCGCTCCTTTGGGTATCTGTGGGAAGGGTGGCATTCAGTTTGTGGTAATCACCCCTTCTCAGCCCATTTTGTAAGAGAACTGTCTCCTGCACTCTTTCTTTTTCTCTCCTGCACCCTCGTCTTTCTTCCTGTCTCATAGTCAGCATCTTGCCTCATGCTGTCTTTAATCCAATTTCCCCTTTTCCTACTTGCCCCCGCCCCCCCAGCTATATTTGCA